AAAAAAAAAAATTAAAAAAAAATTTTTTTTTTTGGGGGGGGGGGGGGGGGGGGGGGCACCTGCCCCCCAGGCCACCCCCAGGTCCGCCCATGGTGGGACATACAATGGTGGATAGTTTGTTTGCCGACCACTTTAGATTTTCATATTTTTAACTCTTGTAGCTAAGTTGGTTAAATTCCCTTTCATTTCCAAGAAGCTCTTGTAATGAAATTGGATATCTTAAGTTTGACTCTCAACTATTGTAGTCCTTTATGCAAATTATTTTAGTTTAATATTTTTCATCATTTTGGAGCAAAAGCATTAAAATGAAGATTCAAACCTTTGAGATTACAAAAAGTTTGACCACCATGACATTTTGTGAGTGATAACATTATATGTAACAAAAATATATATGTTCATTTTTATGAAGTAATAGATATGTTCTCTTTCTTTTAATTTTTTTAACAAAATGTTAACTTTACAATGACCCAACGGTTAAATTATTGATACATCGATTGAACCACTTATTCAATGACTCGATAATTTGTTCAGGTCAATGATCAGATCGGATATGATAACTATATTTTGAAGAGTGAAAGAATAAAGAAGAAGAAGAAGAAGAAGAAGAACATTAAATTGGTAGTTGACATTTATTGAAACCCAAAAATGTATTTATTTTAAGAGAAAATTACCTCAAACCCTTCTTTTCAACATTACATTTCAAAAACAAGGTGATAAAGTTTATATTTCAAAATTTAGGTGGTAATTATATTTTATAATTATAATTATTAAAAATTTAAAACCTTAATTTATCATTTTCTTCTCAACCCTTTCTCTCGTCCCTCTAAATCTCTCGTCTTTCTCTCTCTCAGCCATACCCATCCAAACTCATATCTCCTCCCAATCCCGATCTGCAGCCATACCCACCCAACCCCAAACCCAAACCTTAATAATCCCCCCTAATCCCGGTGCTGCAAACATCACGTCGTCGCCACCATGGAAGTAGCACCGCGATGCTGCTGTAATGGAAGGGGACCAGAGCCTCTTTGCGCAGAGTCGACGGCAGTTGCGCTTTGCGAATATCTGGAAGCTGTCGCCGGAGACACCAGAAGTCGTTACTGGGAGCGCCGTCGATGAAACCTTGCGTCCCACCTTTTCTCCTACTCCGCTGTTCGATGAGAGGCGTTGTGAGATCTGGTGCACGACTTTGTGTACTGTGATGGCTTATCTGGTGGCGCCGAAGTTTTTGGGGTGGTTTTTGTTGGTTGTTTAACTGCGACTATTGTGGTGTTGTGTTGATGGTGCTCGTGAAGTTTTTATTTAATTTTTGAAATTAAACAAGCTCGTTGGCGCCGCTACAGAGTAAGAAGGCTGCAACCGGAGTTGGTGGTGCCGGCGAACCTTTTCTGATCTATAACCGATTGCGATTGACTACCGGGTAGTTCATTGTGACTTTTGTGACCGTTTGTGACCGATTGTGACAGTTTGTGATCGTTTGTGGCCGATTGTGACCGTTTGTGATTGGTTAATTGTGACTCGTTGT